AGATCCTTTTAAGAGTTAGCACGCTATAGCAGCAAGTTAGACTTTACTTCTGAATTCCTGAGGTCTGACAGGGCTACTATTCAGGGTATTATTTAAACAGCTACTTAAAAACACAAGACTAAAACTGCCGTTGTGTGTGTGGTTGGTAGTGGAGCTTCCTGTCAGCTCATTAGAAGGATTAAAGTGGCCAAGGTACAACCTGAGCACAAATTTGTATGTGACCATAATGATTAAAAACAAATCAGATTGATAAAAAATTCAGTGTCATTTCCATAAGCATCACGCAGTATGAATATGCTTGAGTCACTTTTATGCTAAAGAATTGTGTTTATTTCCTCAATGACGCCTCTCTTACATACAGTGATGCTCCAGTTCCCAAACTCAGAGCTCTCCACAATTCTGGTTGGAAACTGAAGTGGATAAGAACTAAATGAAATGTCCCCGGAAGGTCAACATTGAACCTAACCACTGCATTTGACTCAGTTCCTGGCCAACTCGGTTTATGTCCTGAACTGAGGCACCACTACTGCCGGTGTGTCAGTCCTGATGTCAATCATTTCTATATCGAATTTTGGATACTTTTCAAGGGTCCAGAAGTAAAGATTTACCTCTCCCCAATGAATTTTTTTAAAAAAAAAACTTGTAAGTTCTTTTTTTTTTTTTTTCTATTTAACAAAGATCTTTTATTTTCTCATTAAAATATCAGATTGGCTTTACAAGCCAGAAGCTTGTTTCTGCGGCTGGATTAACTCTTGGATTTTACTCATCTGGCTGCTGAACTGTTCCCTTTTCAGAAACATAGATAGCATCCAAAAATGTTCTGATCTCCTTGTTTTTGACTGGTGTAGCTTGCTGAATCAGAGCAGCTGAATTTGAAACAAGCTCAATGTCACTTCCTTCAAGGATTAGTTCATCTTTCTGGGCTTGAGATACTGAGCAAGCAACACCTGCCCTCATACGAACTAGGCGAATGTTTTTTCACCCAAGAAATTCCGAATTTCAACGAGAGACCCGTTCTCCTGAATAACGTCATTGATGGGGAAGTGAGCATACACAGACCTCATCTTGTAACGGAAGCCCAGTGTAACCCCCTTCATCATGTTCTGTACATGGCTGCAGATCGTGCAGGCAGCCGCCAACTCCTTTCTGATCCTCCACCATTTGTCAATGCGGAGCCTCTTCTTTTTCTTCCCAAGGAGATTGAGTTCCACATTGATGTGGTTGAAGTCCCTCCGGAGGGTTCCTCTGGGGCCCTTCACAATAACTGTGCGTCCTTTCAGTGATGTCGACATTTTCTGGAATGTCAACTGTCTGATTGCTAAGAATGGTCTTCATTCTTGTGGGAGAGGTGGCAACGAGCTAAGAACTTGTAAGTTCTTACTCTGTTAGTTTATTGTGACTAAGATTTAGCAGAAAGTTAAATAATTACATGACAATGCCACTTCTCTGGCAATGCATCGATGTTTCCCAGTAAAAAAAAAGGTAGGTTGAAGGTTGAGACTTTTATTATGGTAAGAAAATAGATATTGAATTTTACCAATTATCTTTCAATAACTAAGAAGATGATGAGATTATGTTGTTTAATGGTAACTTCATAGGAAGTATTTTCTAATATCAAATCTTTATGTTCATAGGACAAACATTTGTAATTTAAGATATTGCTGGATTCCACTTGTTATTATATACTTTAGGATTTTTCACTGATATTAATATTTAGAGTTAATAATTAGAGTTCAGAGCAAGTTCGCTTTCTTTAGTTATCCTAGTTCTAGCTCAGGCTTTTTTAAAGAAATGTATTTAGGACAGGATCTACAGGGTCTACAGGGTCTCACTGTGTAGATGGGACTCGTAGCGATCTTCCCGCTTACAGCCTCCCAAGTGCTGGGATTACAGGTGCACATCGTCACGCCCAATCTTAATCGCATCTCAGCGCGCCCCAGGGCGGAGCCCGCAAGGCAGGCCCAGAGATCAAACTTGCAGCCCCTGCCTCTGCCTGAGCAGGCGCTTTAAACTGCTGAGCTATTTGGCCAGCTCTTCATGCTGTTTTAAGGGTCCCACGTTCCTTCCTATGTACCAAGCATTGTGTTTTATGAAAAATCTCTCTCCATCATTTTAGCTAAATAAGCAGAATTTGGTGTCTCACTGGGGTCCTCCTCTACCTTTTCTGGCTTCCTATCCTCTCCACTCCCTCGGTACAGGCAAACAGACCAACTGCGCTCCAAGTGAACTGGACAAGAACCCTGCCCAGGACCTCCGAGGGGAGCCCACTGTGGTTCTCACCCCATTCTTTCTTTGGCTGAGAACTTCGTCCACAGCTCTCATTCTCAGGAGCACCAGACTCATGTTTATTTCTGATCTGCCCTGGGTTCAGCTAGATGTTTAGAAGCACTTGGCTTGGGGTTGTCAAGTGAGAAAAACAACTGTTTGTGGTTCAGTGCACCCAAGGAAACCACAAAACCCAGCGCTGCTGCAGAGGCAAGCTCTGGCCTCACGGAAGACACCGAACTGTCTTATCTGGTGTGTGATCTTCAGGTCGTGAAATTCCCCTCTGACAAAACATGTACCTGCTACCCACTGGCTGTGGGCTGTCCTTCCTCTGAACAAATAGTCTTCACCAAAAAAGTGGCCAGGCACAGAGTAAAGAGCGCCCCAAAACTGACCAAGATGTCCAGTGAGCACAGTGAAGGCCAAAGAAATTTGGCTGAAGAATTAACCATAAAAGTCCTTAAATTCTGAGTGTCTCCTGGAAGATTTCTCAGTTAAAGTCTGTGGCCCATTCCTCTCTACTGAGCAGCATTTTAGAAAAAAAAAATGATTTATTAGCTTTTCAGGGCAAACACTGGAGATTCTGGGCCTAGAGCTTGATATCATTTATTCAATATCCAGACCTTGAATAACATCCTTCAGGAGGGCTGCTTGTGTTGATTACAGCTTAGTGGGGTTGGGGTGTTGGGGTACTAGTAATGGGCTCAGATACCTCCCTGGTCTTTGCCACTAACTAGGGGTTGGTTACCCTGCACTTTTTCAAAGAGCAGAGGCAGTTTCTAAAGAGATGGGAGGGCGGGGCAACTGCAACTACTGCTGAGCTGGTAGAGTGGCCTGGAGCCTGGCCACAATGTGACCCAGGAGGAAAAAGGGGGAGCTGTCCCAGTCTATCCTCTGGGGACAAATGGGTGAAGGACAGTGCATGACAGCTATGGCGGCCGTTGGCTGCCACAGTAAGAAGAGAAGAAGGAGATGCCTCTTCAAATGACCACCTCCTTCACGCCAAGGGCTGAGCTGAGCAGCTTGCTGACGTGAGGCCCATAGTTAGAGTAGACTCTCTGTGCCACTTGGCTCCCTTCTCCTCAGACCTTGAAGTATGTATCTTCTCCCTCAATGAATAACTGTAAGACAAGCCCAGCCAAATACCATGTCTATGATTATTGCTTTATTTTACTTTTTTTTTTTTTTTTTTTTTTCTGGAACTGGGGATTGAACTCAGGCCCTTGAGCTGGCCAGAGAAGCGCTTATTCTACTGAGCCATCTCCCTGGCCCCTAAGCGCAGTCAAATACCAATAGGACACCTTTTCAGAAGTCAATTCAATGCTTTTGGCATTCACATAGAAAAATTAGTGCCTGAGAGTACCAAAGAAGATGCAAAAGTGTAGATTGAGGAAGAAATTTGTTCATCACAATACAGTCAAAATCCATGCCGGTGTATTGGTGTTTTACTCGTCTAGGGGTAAGAAAGCAGAGGATGGGAACAGAATTGAAAATGTTGACATGTCCTAGGAAGTGCGAGAATGGAATAAATGCTGTATGCTCACCTTGGCAGGAGAGAAGTCACTTAACACAAGCACTGTCTTAAGCACATACCAACTTGGGTGTCTGTTCTGCTTTGAGATTTTTTTTGTACCTTTCAGTAAGAGGTATGCTTGTGCTCTCTAAGGAAGCTGCGTGTCTCAGGAATGTGGGTTTGGAAAGGGAGGCCACTATCCCACGGCAGGTGTGTCATCAGCACAGGCCACCAGGTGGACCTAAGGCTCCATCCTTCCACTTCTGACAGTTCCAAGCACCATAATCATGATGAGATCTACTTCCCTGCCTTCCCAGGGACAGCAGCTAAACCCTTCTGCCATACCAATTGGCATCAGAGAAGAGGCAGCCATTGAAAGGCTTTCCCCTTCTTCTCACCATTTCCCATCAGAGTAGCAAACTTTCCAAGAGAATTTTGAGCCTGAAAGATATTGAGGTACACCTGGGACATGGCATCCTGCTCAGGCATTCAGAGAGCTCAATGCCAGACCCAACACCTACTCCCTTCTTGACCCTTCTTGTGTTGCTTCTTATGAACACTTGTCCGTAGGAGCAGCTTCCCAGGGAAACACCACTATGTCACAGTCCCCCACAAATTGGGCAGATGGTCCCACTGGAATTTAAGGCATTCAGGTGCTTCCTTTGTGGGTTCCCCTTTTTCCTTGTTTCCATTTATCTCTCTATTTCATCATGCTGGGGAGCCATTTATGTATGCGGACTCTTTCCTCATCCAGAAGGAAGAGCACAAGTAAGTATGAGGAAGGCTAAAAACAGCTTTACTTTCTAACACTCAGATCTAGTGAAGGGTCATGAGCTCCAGGGTAAAGAAGCAGGATGTATAGCCTTCCCAGGCTATGTCTACACTGGGAAGGGTGCTGATGTCTTCTGTCCCAGCCTATCTGGCACCTTTAGGGTCCTCCCCATCCTATAGCCAGGGGTAACGTCCACCATTTTGCCCAGGGATGATTTTCTGGATACCCAATCACAACTTCAGCCATCATTCTGACCCCTGGGAAGTCCCCATGGGACTTTTTAGTCATGGTTCAAGAGAAATGGTTGCTCTTTCTGCCTGATTCTCTTTTCCTGCTCATCCTCCTCAGCCCAGTGTGCATCCGTCCCCATGTGTCACAGCCACCACAGTCTCTGGTCTGCCCAGAGTTCTTTTGCTCATTTCAAGATAGAAATCACAAAGAGACAAGCAATGCCGACCAAAGGAGGCTTTATTCAGGGCCTACGCTCAGGCACAAGAGAGACAGCGCACATGTCAGAGTTGCGGACTGGCTCCCCGCGGAGGTGTCCTGCACACTTATGCTCCGGCTTACCTTCTGCGCAGGGACTTCTGGCACTTGTTGCACATGACTCACGATTTCTGCACACGGCCTGTCTTTGGGTCTCAGCCCCAAGGATTGGCCCTGACACAGTCATCTTTTGGTGCCTATTGGATCAGTGTCAGCTCACAGAAAAATGGCGCTTGCTGCTGCCATCACAGGAAGGTCCTGTGCAGCGACAGTCAGCCCTTCTGTGTACGCTGGAGTCAAGGGAAGCCTACCAAGCATAGCAAAGCTTGGTAGTTGCAACCTAGTTGTCTCAGAGGGCACAGCCTCTTAAAATAGCTCACAGCAAGGAAGAAAACTTGATGGGAAGGGATCTGGGCCTTCCCGTTCTAGCTCATGGCGATGTTCTCCCCACCACCAAGTGCGAGTGCTTTAACTGTCATCATGCCTGCCCCCTTTATGAGTGAGGAGAAAACCCAAGAAATGTGAAGCTCACATAAACCTGCACTGCCACCAACTGATGCCCAGGCAGCTGCAGGGCTTGCATGGAAAAAGTGGCATGCCTGCATAGACACAAATCCCAAGAAGTGTAATGTTAGTGAGAAAGAAGATTCCCCCATGAGTACAGCAGGCTGTTGGGGTACCCCATGCTCTGGAAGAAGCAATGAGGAGCTGGTATGTAAGCGGGCACCTGGACCGAGGGCCCCACACCACCCAGACTCAGAGTCCCGGGCAGTTCTCTGTGAGAATGGACAGAGCCAGCAGTGGGGCGCGAGGTGGGGGTGCAGGCGCTGACACTTTCCCCCTTGTTGCATGAACTCAGCTAGACAGTCTCCCAGGAAGCATTTGTAAGTCTTCTCGAGTCCTTGTGGACTCCGGACGGGACGTCCAGCTGAGACCCACCCCCACTCGTACGCCCTTCCCGGGAGTCTTGCTCAGGTCATCCACCTTCCCTGGGTCTGAGCTCTTCCGGGTGCTAACTGGGAGCCCCGGGAAGCCCTGCCGCTGTAACAGCGGCCTTCGTTTTCCCACTGGATCCACTCGATCTTATCCATGAGGTCGTGCAGCTGGGCCTCCTTCTCCACCCGCGCCGCCCTATTGTTGAAGCCGCAGTGGCGCTGCTCACACAGCACGTCCAGCTTGGCGAGGCTGCGGTTGGCCGTCTCCCGCAAGTATTTATCCAGGGACTCTCCGGCCAGATCTTCCTTCCGGGTGAACACCAGGATGGTGTACGCCAGGACCTCCGTTCCAAAGATCTCCTGGAGCCGCCTCACAGCCTGCTGATCCTGCTCTGTGAAGCGGCCCAGCTGGATCACCAGAAGCACAGCATGCAGCCCTGGGGAGGAGAAGGCTATGGCTTGGCAGATTGCTTCAGCCGCGACTTCCGGCTGGACCTGAGAGGACAGAATATCTGGGGTGTCAATCACCTCAAGTTCCTTTCCACCCCACTCTCGCCTTTCTCTCTTGAAGGTCATGGTCACTGGCTTAGCACTGAGTTTAGACTCAAATACTTCCCTGCCGAGGATAGTGTTTCCAGTCGCGCTTTTCCCACTTCCAGTTTTCCCCACCAGCAGGAGCCTCAGTGTCCTGGGGGCGAGCTCTTTCAACATCAGACCTAGAAACATTAAAAACAAAGAGGAAACCTGGGTCAGAACCCAAAGTAATTCATTTATCAACAGCCACGTTCGTGGATGTGCTCCATTAACCAAGACCTAGCATTGTGCACGTTCTTAGTCTACATCCTTGACAGTAGGGCCAAACGTTCTTACTTAGCAACATCAGAGCCATTACTGAGAGGGGAGACTTGGGGATGCCAGACAGACCCTGGAAGCCTAATACAGGTATGACTGGGGCTGGAGGGCTGGTTCCAGACCCAGAGCATACGAAGAAGTGACAGATAATAGCTGCTTTCCAAAGCTGGTCCTCATTAAAGAGACAGATGGGTCCAGCTCACAGAGCACTAAGCTGCCGAGGTGGGTGGGCCCCTGTCCTTTCTTAACCTCAATAGCACTGACTGGCTTTGCTGCTGCCCGACAGCTGCCCTTGGCTGGCTGACCTGCTTCTCAATTCTGAAAGAATGACATTGGCTTCCTCCAGTTTCCACGAGGGAGTGGAGAGGCATTTGAATGAAAGTGTGGGAAGTGAGAGGAGCTGTGAGTGTCAGATACTCATTCCTGGCGGCCTCGATGGTACACGCCTGGCGAAAGAGCGGAACTCCTGTCAGAGCAGCTGCAGCCAGGTTCCACCACACACTGGAAAGCCACATACACCATCGAGCTCTAGTTTCAATATCTAACCTCAGTTACTGTGGAAAGAGTAACCAAGTAGGCTTATGACATTGGAAATTTTTTAATGTAGTAGATTAATATGACCTTTTCCCAATGGCCCAGGTCCTTAAGATTCATCAAGTCTAAAAATAATTCATATTAAATACAAAACAAATCACAAATAATTTCTTGTAGACAGGAAGACTGGTGGGCTTCCAGTGCTCCTGAATTATGTCCCCCTCCCAGGGACTGCTGGCTCCCAGCCTCGGCCCAAAGCCACTGTCTGCATGACACCCACAGCTACAGAGCACCTCCTTCCCAAGCACTCCAGTGCAGAGTGTCTCCCCTAGACACTGGCTGTCCACGCTGGCACTGCTATCCAGTGTACCTCCCTGAGGGAAGTTTTCTTTTGTGTGTGTATGTGTTTTTTTGTTTTGTTTTGTTTTGTTTTTTACCTCCTGACAGCTCTTCTGTAGGGTTCTGGAGAGGCAGGCTTGGGGAAACCTCTGAAATCAGTACATAGTCTTCTTCCACCTAGACAAAGCAATAATGAACTTACTGATTTTCTAAATGAATTTTAGGGTGCACTTTACCATTTACTTTCTTTTTTGTTTTGTTGGCAGAACCGAGGATTGAACTCAGGACCTTGTGCTTGCCAGGCAAGCACTTATTCCACTGAGCTAGCTCCACAGGCCCCTACCATTTACTTTCTGTCGTGAAAGAGAAGCGTTTGCACTGGGTTAAGGTCAAGGGAGCCTGAGTGAGGAGGGATCTAAGATGGGCTCCGCGAGCTTTAGAGACCCTGTCCCACTCACACTGAGGTCTCTATTTTGAGTATAAGCAGTTTCTTAGGAAAGGAGCTGCTGGGCTGGAACCGACGAATTAGGGTGGACAGAGCATGGAAGAGGAAGGGGAGGAGGAGCAGACAGAAAAGCACGTGGGACCCTGAATGTGTGTGCTGGGGGGCACAAGCAGAGAACAGTGTGAGCAGCCATCTCTGAGTCTTGGGGCCAAAAGAGCCACCGGGCGTGATCTCTGGAGAAGGTTGGGAAGCGAGAATGGAGGAGCCAGAGAGGCTGCTGTGGATAAGCGACTGCTGCGGCCCGCTGGACCCAGACATCTTAGTGCTCGGTGGAGGCCGGGCTGCTGGGTTGCTCACGCTCCTCCGGCCATGTTGTCCCCGTGGGGTGGATGTTGGCCCTGCACTGGAAGGTCTCTTCCCACAGAAGGTCCCAACACACTCAGAATTTTAAGAGCAGCTCTTGGGTTCTTTGCACACCGGGGCCAGCCACCATCCCCCGCCAGGACCACCCACTCCATGAGCACGCATGTGTTCTTGCTTCATTCAATTTCAATTTTTTTTTTTTTCAGAACCAGGGAGAAAACTATGCAGCTCATGACTGCTTGTTAACAAATATGTAACCATACTTAGGCAGATCTCACAAATCCAGGGAAAGGCTCTCGGGTACGGGAAGCCCAGTTCCAGGGGATCTGGACAGATACGGGTTTCTCATCACCCATCACCACAGCATCGTTGAATGTTCCTTGGCTCTGTTCACCTGACAGTCCACTTTGTCCCCCCCAAATCTCAGGAACTGGCTGGTCGGTGGGGGTGCTGTGGCTCCAACAGGCCAGGTTGGCAATGCAGGAAGCCCAGGGAGATTTGCTGACTTCTGGGCGGCTTCACACAGACCCTCTCAGCTCCCTGCTGGTAAGATCACAGTCTTCCCACCGGCTTCCCCGGATGGAGCAGGTGGGGAGGGGGCCACTGCCTTCTGCGCCTGCGCATAGTGGGCTGCACCCCCGCACTGTGCCCTGGAGCAGCCTAGAACGGGCTTTCACTCTGCAAGTCTCTCTGCCACCCCTCATCCCACCTGGAGCAGCACCACATACACACACACGGGTCATACTTGTAGTTCTTTTCTTTTGCTCCAGCTCAGAAGACGGAGCTGATATTCTTCTATTTGCTGTGTCGCCTTGCCCGGGCAAAGAAACCAAAACTCACAGAAGAGTATTGGCCAACGCTAAGCTCAGCACAGCGTGAAATTCTCCTGACTTTCTGGTCCCAGCTCTAACAAACCACAGCACACACGCACGACTCACACACACCTGCTGACACATCGACACACACTCACCTGTAAGCGTGTATACACACACTGATGTATGTACACAACACACAAATCTACATAAACAGCACTCACACCATAATGCATGCACATGTAAACGCATATGCACACCCAAAGAGTTACACACACTGTTCATACGCGTACATATACACATACATTCACACAAACACAGCACACACACACGCATACACGCACAGACTTACCAACTGGAAGGCCAACGGGCAAGAGGAATGGCCACATTTCCTGTCGCTCTGGGTCACACGATCCTGCCAGCTCCCTGTCTCTCTCTGGGGCTCCAACACACAGTGGTCTCCTTGAAAAAGCAAACGGCAGAGCCAGTAGAAAGCTTCTGAGAGGTACGAAATCATGGGGCTGAGGCCAGCGTCTGCTGGTATTTTTCAGCAGAATATGATCGGAGCTCAAGAGCTGTTCTTGAAACCACGGAGTCCACTAGCAGGCAAAAACAGGAAGTAGACAGAGAGACGGGAAATGAGGCGCATGCGCTGTCGCCTGAAGAGCAGAAAGGACTGGAACAGGAGTGGTGGTGCTGCTGTTATCCTGCTCTTCGCAGCTAGGCCTTTAAGAGGCTCAGCAGGCACCAAATAGCTCAGAAAAACTTGTGCCTGAGACCCTCCCTTTCTGAGCTTGGTCCCACGCTGGCTCAAAACTAGGCAAATATTCATTGTATCTTTTCCCCCTCTCATCGCTACTTGCTTTCAATATTTTTCTCTTAGAACAAGGTCTAATACTCATCCTTTGCAAGGCATAAATCAGGAGTAAGAATTTTAGTTGCCGTATTCTCTGAAAAGGTGCAGTCTAAAGGGCAAGACCCGAAGTATGCGTAAACTGTATGACTACAGAAAACAGTGTCAGGAGGAGGATGCAGTAGCAGAGACAGAGCACAGCTTAGGAAAAACCCTTAGGGATCTCAAACATGCGTTTCCTGGATTCTTCTCCACAGCTCTGAGCATCACAACTAATTATTTGTAATATTTTATTTATTTATTTAGTAGTACAGGGTTTTGCTGTGCAGCTGGGACTCATAAGTGATCCTCCTGCCTCGGCCTCCCCAGGGCTGGTATTATAGGCATGTGAGAAACCAGCGCGGCACACAGCATGCGGTACTAGGGATCGAATCCAGGTCGGTTGCCAGGCAAGCGCTTAGACCGCTGAGCCATCTCTCCAGCCCCTGATCACCACAATTAAAAGCAGCCTTTAAAAGGAGGAACTAGAAGCATCTCAGCAGGGGTGACAATACAGCTACCATATGATTTTAATTTTATTTTGCAGTATCAGAGAGCAAACTTGGGACCTTGCACTGCCCAGGCAGGTGCTTATGGCACTGAGCTATAACCCCGGCCCTACCATATGATTTTAAAATGCTGAGATCCCCCCTAAAATCTTAGTGTAATAGAGTGGCCCTCATTTTCTTTTGCTGTGTTCTGATTGACCTCCAAGGAGCATTGACCACAACAGCGACACCATGGAGCAACCTAGTGATCTAGCTTCAGTTGTTCTGTGAACACTTTAACATGGGCAGTTCCTAGAAGTCCTGTGTTCATCCTCACTGTCCCTCCTGCTGCCTGATTAGTGCAGACGCTATTGCTTCTTCAGCCCCTGACACCAACCGCCGGTTCCCAGCTTCAGCAGCTGCCATTTTCCACACACTGATCGTAAAGTTGGCCCGACCTGCCCCAGAGCGGGCCAGAGGTCAGTCCCCTGTTCAGCCACAGAGATATTCCACCACAATCGGACATAATCAGATTGATACAGAATGTGAATCCAACATCGGATTTTTTTTTTTTCCAGCTTCACTTTCAGGGATTTCTTTGTCAGGGTTAGTTTTACAATTATTGATTATGAACTCAAATATGGCAGTCCCTGGTACTGAAAACAAGATGACTTTACTCTGGAGAGGGTTTGCATACATTTTTATTTGGAACTGCGAAGAAGGTGTTGGTGCTCCTGAGCTGAGACCTCGCTGGTCCCATTCTGGGACCTCTGGCTTCATCAATGAGAAGGTCACAATGTGTGCCCCAGAAAGGTCAGCCAAAACCTGCCTGTCACCAGCTTTTTTGGGTCCGCCAGCCTTTCCTAAAGTGAGCGCCAAGTTATCATTTTAGTTTAAATTTTGTTTGGTGTCATTGCTACTACTTCCTGTGTGTTCTGCATACAGCGTTATCCCTCACATCTCACAAGCCGAATAATGTGGTTTTGTCAAGGAAGAAATTTTAGTGCTAATTTCGTAAACAGGGCTCATCTACACAGAAGGTAGTTCACAGTCTTTCTCATGCCTCCCTTCTTAAACCACATGTCGTGACCAGAACCCAGAACCTTGGCCCCAATTTAGCTATAGCAGGGCTGGGATTGGACAAGGGTACATGAGGGCTTGCTGAACACCGGTGGCCTTGGACATCGTCCAATTCTGAGGTGGTCTGGGAAGAAAATGCTAGTCACAGTTACAAATAGCTTAAAAAAGAAAAAGCAAAGAACACATCGAGTTAGGGCTTGTGTCTGGTCTGGATGTCCCCCAAAGCCTCATGTGGTCATAGGTGGGGTTCTTCAGAGGCGGCTGCATCTGGAGTGTGGACACTGGGATTGATTCAGGGTGCAGTGTTAAGATCAAGGGCACCAGGAGTAAGGGTGTGAGTGCTGCCCGCCCTGAGCAGCCTGGGTAAGAGAAGGGACAGAAGGGGCTTTGCTCTGCCTTCTGCCCACCATGAGCTGCTTCTCCTCTGCCTGCTGCACTGCCTTGGAGCCGGCTGACTAGGGACTGAAACATTTACAAGCTGTGAGCTAAATGAAACTTTCCTCCTTTAACTCTGAGTGTCGGGTATTTTGTCTCAGCAATGAGAAAAGGGACTAAGACACATGGTTTCCAGAATTATGCTGATTATGAAAGTAATAACTCATACTTACATAGTACTTCTTGTAACCAGACACTCCTTTAAGAGCTTTACATACGTTAATTTGTTTACTTGCCGCAGCAATCCTTCGCAGAGGAAAGCTGTTCTACTGTTCTGTGTTCGGTTTTCACAGATCAGAAAACACAGACAGAGGGAAGTTGTGCATTTGGATGGTTGATTGACATGCCAGCTCGCCCAGGCTGCGGTATCCAGCTTTTCAGTCAAACACTGCCTGGAAGCTGTTGTGAAGTCATCCTTTAGCTGTGGTTAACATTTAAGTCAGTGCACTAAGCAGATTGTCACATGGTGCAGACTTACAGATACCCAGCAAGGGAAAGCAAACGCGTAGGATTTGTGATGAGCTGTTGCCACAAGACTCCGGAAATCTACTTGGAGTGAGTGGGTAGAGCTAGGAATGTGTGTGCCACGTTTTCACTCCAGCTGAGGGATGTCCCCCAAAAGCAGATCACCCTGGAGGTCACATGCCTCCAGTAACCTCATTCATTGGACCAAAGCATTGAAAGGGTTCTTGAAGGGGACTGAAATAAAGCCTGGGCTTTTCCAGTCGGTTCCCTCTGGTTTCCAAAGATTGCCTTGCTAGAACATTCTAAAGATATTCCTGTTAACCGTAGTGACAAAAGGGCAACTAGGGGCACTCAAGGCCACCCAGAGGACTGTCCCACAGGAGCTCCACATGTACATCCTCCCTGCACTCAGGGAGGTTGCTGATACCATTGGAACCCTTGTTAGGGGCAGTAGAGGAGCTACTTTGTTTCCTCACTGGGAAAGCAGCAGAGAAAGCTGGGTAGGAATTTCACAGTGGGTTGGCACTGCTCCAGTTGACAGAAGGGCTGACAGTTACTGGTGAGGTCTGCAGAAGAGGAGGAGCGGCCACATGCCCTCTCCAGGTGCCAAAGCAATTCTGTTTCCTGCTTTTCACTCCCTCTTCTATTTCCAGCCTCCTGTGCCAATGGAGCATGGATGAAAGTATAGAGTCTGTGGTCCTAAAATTGATGCTGGCCCCAATCTTCTCCTCGCAGGATTTGTATTTGTGGCAGACAGTGGCAGCAGCTGCGTGAAACTCAGTAAGCAAAGGCTGTGCCCTGGCGCCTCCGGCCCCCACCATGGCTGTTCCACACGACGACCCGCTGCATCAGCCTGGGCAAGGTCCTGTCTGCACTTGGTAGTTAGTTGACTCATTTTGTCCTGTGGGTTCTTTTGGTGCCTCTTCTATGACAGACTTCACTGGTGAGAGTCAGCATGAGATTCAAAGGTCTTTCCCCTTCATGTCCCCATTCATGTCCTTGTCATAGTTTTCCCCCCTCTTGCTATAGCTGAATATCACTGTCTGGGAAATAGATGAAGACTATAGATTTATTTGTCCTCATGTTCCAGAGGCTGAGACATAAAATGTCACAGAGAAGGCATCAGGAGAGGGCCTTGTATTGTATCAAAGAAGAAGGCATCACATGGTGAGAGAGCAGCCACATTAACTCAGAACCCCCTCTTCTGATAAAGCCTCTAAAGCCTTTACAGATCTCTACCCTGATGACTTTATCTAGCCTTGATTATTCCCCCCAAAAACCCCACCTCTAAGTGTAATTAAGGGATGAATTTGAGGGGTAAGTTTTCAACGCATGATTTTGGAGTCCACACTCAAGCCATAACAGCTACTTGCCTCCTGCAACACCGGCTCTTCTTGTCTCCCACCTTTCCTTCTGTACGCTGGCCTTGTTGGACTTCCCTAACCTAAATGTTTCATTCCAGCTCTTGTGTTCATTCATAATATGAGGATCTGGTACCAAAATGTTTCCCAGGAAAAGTATGAGTGAAGAGATCTTGATAAGCACTCTGTGTGGATGTAGGATTCTGAGAACAGCAGAGTCTAGGTGCCTTGATTATTTTATTGTTGTTGGGACAAAATATCTGACATCCACAAGCTAAAGTGGAAAGGTTCATTTTAACTCACAGTGTGTAGGGTTTCACTCTATAGTAAGCTAACTCCAAGGCCAGGTGGCATTGAACAGGAGAAACAGTCCATGGTGTGGCAGGTAGGAAGATACCAAGCAGAAAGCAGCAGCAGTCTGCCTTCCATCTTTCCTCATTAGTCCACTCAGCTATAAGCCTAATGATTGATTCCACCCACACCCAGGCTGGGGCTTCCCATTACCCCCACCCAGAACAATACAAATCAATCCATAGACAATTCCAATTATCACACACTCTTTATCCATATTTATATATGCTAGATCCAGCCACTTCTCAGAAAGCGGTACTAATGTATCTTGATCATCCCCTTAGATGCTGCCACGCTTTGCGCATGGTATACAGGTGCCCCCCCCCCAAAAAATTTTAGGCTATGCAACTTGGTCCTTGGGATGATGGTGCTTGGAGGTGTGAGAACTTTAAGAGTGGAACTTAATGGGAGGCCTATAGGTTATTGGGGGCATGCCTTCAGAGGGGATTAAGCCACTCTTCTCAGACACTGGGATAGGTTCCCCCAGACCAAGTCGCGATAGCAGGAGTGAGAGGGCATGATGCCTCCTCTCAGTCTGC